AATATACTTGAATGTTAAGTCTTTTATGGCTAATGTACCAAAAGAACCTCATTATCTCAAAGGAAATGAATAATTCTGATTTTAAAAATGAAGCCGTTCCAGTAAAGCCTTTTTACCCATTTATCAATGGTAAAAAGCCATTTCAGATGTGTTTGTTATTACTTTAAGTTTACTGATAACATTAAAAGAGAACAAAATGGAGTGGATTCATTAAAATAGGGAAAGGATAGAGAAAGATGAGGCTGACTTCTTTTGCTCTTAGTGCTGATTGCCACTTTTCTTGGGAGATCTTGATGGACATTAGTGCAATTGCTATAATACTTTTATACCCTAGTGATAATTTGACATTACTAAAACATGATCACTCTAAAAAAAGATGAATTCAAAAGCAAATGAAAACACTATTGATATTTTCTAAAAATCAAGGACTACTAAAAGACCCTAGAATTTTCTGCAATCATCAATGGATGATGCTAATATCTCCAGTGAAACCAAGCATGTAATCTCTGAGGACTTCATTCTAAGAATATATATCCTAGCATTTGAAGTAAGTATTATGCACAATAATTCCTTCAAGTACATAAGAAATAAATTGAAAGTTGTAGAAATCCAGACCGTCTGAAATAACATAAGCTTGTTAAAAACAGAGCTATATAGCTCTAGCGTTGCTGTTCACTTGTGGTAAAACCTCATTTATCTTTTCTAGGATTCGCTTTTACTGTTTCCTCTGCCTTGAACTCTCCATTCTTAGGGATTCACCTAGCTGACTCCCTCTCCTCTCTCACACTTCAACTCCAGTATCACCTCCTTCCTGGATCACCCGTTTTAAGTATCCAACCCCTCATTATTACCATACTGCCTCACTTTGTCTTCGCAGTGCTTTTTGCTCTCTGAAATTACCTTATTTTATTGATTGTTTACTGATTTTCCTCAGTCTCTACTGGACCAAGAACCTTACCTGTTTTGATCACAGTTGTACTTTCACTGCCAGAATAATACCTGGCATAAAGCAGATGCTCAATAAATGTTAGTTGAATAAATGAATGGCTGAATGAATGCCCCACTGAAATCATAGCTTTTCCATGAAGGCAAGGTGATGGAATGCATACGGACGTGAGCTGAATCTTAAAGAATACTCTACAGATAGAAACTGTAACAACAGGGCTCTCCTTGACCACTCTTTCCCTAACACCAACTCAGGTACACTTTTCACTTCCACCTTCTTTGATCGAAGATAAGAACAACTTAAAACAAATGCTATGAATGCAACATCCTTCGTTCTACACCTTCAAATGAGAATGTTTGAAAAAATTTTCTGCAGAGCTCAAGCACAACATAAAATATAATCTCAATATATCCCCATAAATCCTCATAGAGGCTGAAATGGGAAGAAAGAATGCCTGAAGGAACTTGTAGAAATTTCAAGGATGATTTCTCCCCCCACATGAATGGTACCAGGCTTGGTTTATGGGGCAGGAAGGATTTATCATACTAAGTGCAGAGAAAAGAGAACAGGTGCTCCACTGCAGGAACACTTCCTTCTAATGGGGAGATCAAACCCGGTGCCAATAACTGCAAGAGACAAGAGAGTCAGCTGTGAAATGACACGCACTTAGCTACTGTTTGGCGATTGGGTAGTTTTTCCTCTAAAAGCCTAATTCACAGTACAGAATAAGTTGTAGAAGGACACGGGACTTGCACTGCCTCTCCATTCATTAAGACAGATCATGCTGAGCCCCACACAGCTGGGACCCAATGCCCAAGACCATCACATCATACTTTCAGCAAACCTCTCAGACACTGTCCTCAAAACGGAACCCTTTCATAGGAAGGGAGGGAGAAAAAATCTAGGAAAGAAAGAGATGTGATAATACTTTGATTTAAAGTTGGAAAAAAAGGCATGACCTAAGTTAAAGCTATTCCTTTAAAAATAGCTGTAAAAGTTAAGACACCAAATAAAGACAGGTTTGCCAAGAACTTTGAAACTATTTTAAAAGGAGGTACTTATGTTCTTTAAATGAATCTAAAATTATGTAATAATTGACTCTTTATGTTTTAACGAGGTTTGTTTTCCAAATAGAGGCCATGTATTTCCACGTCTTCCATGATTGAGAAGCTAATTTTCATAGCCACCATTTTTCCTATGATTATGTTTAATCTCAGCTCATATATCAATTAATAAAATTAGGAAGGAAGAAAGCTGAATTACAACAAGCTCTAAGTTTAGGTTATTTGCCCAGTTAGTGGTCAGTGTAAATGTACAAATGATGACATGGCAGCAGAGAGACTGGAACTCTCTAAGGTTTCTTCCCCTGGACTTGGTTCCTTGTACAGAATCTCCTTCTCAGAGATCCTCCTCAACTCAGGACATGGAGCTTTCATCTTCGTGGAGATGGCTCGTAAGATCTTAAACTGTTGGCCTGACTTCTTGCTTGTAACATCTAACTGAACATTTCTGCCTGTGTCCTACTGGATCTTGAAATTAACATATCTAATCAATCACAATCAGTTCACCTCACCTCACCCATTATTTCTCACTAGTCTCTTCCATTCTACTAATGATACAGTTGACTAAGGCACTCAGGCTTAAATCCTCAGGGTCCTATTTGAGATTCCCCTGTCCTTTATCCATCATACCCATTCAATGGTCCTGTTAATTTCACTGAAGTCTTTCAAATCTGCCATTTTCTTTTCAGTCATATATTACAGGCCCATCTCTTGCCATACCTGATCCCAGTGGGCTCAGATATGCAACTTGCTCTTTAATGTCACTGCTTGAGCTGGCTTTGGTGGCTGTGTTTTCTTGTTTGCATTCATTTTGTATTCTTGCTGTCCAATTTTCTAACTAAAAGATCTTTCTGGTTATGTCACTTATCTGTTGAAAAATAATAAATGCTTCCTCTTGTCTAGAAGATGAGTCCAAATCCCTTACTCTGTTATTTAACACCATCCATAATATGGCCCCTATCCAACCACACAATCTTATTTCTTACCACTTCCCTAAAGGAAAGAATCTAACCAGGCTGGCCTACTTAAGGTTGACTCATGCTATCACCCTTACCCAATGTCCTCTCTAGCTGCTCTTCTTCTATAATTTTACTTCTCCATAGCAAATATTTGTTTGTTCACTGGTTTGTTAGCAGACCAGCATTTATTCCAATTTTAATGACAATATATTTACCTTTCAGTGAATTCTCTCTTCTTTCAATACAGTGCTCTGTATTGAAATTTTACTTCTCCATAGCAAATATTTGTTTGTTCACTGGTTTGTTAGCAGACCAGTATTTATTCCAATTTTAATGACATTATATTTACTTTTCAGTGAATTCTCTCTTCTCCTTTCAATACAGTGCTCTGGGACCGTTAATCAAGATGTTCTTCCTTCCCTTATGTAAGTAATCAGCCTGGGACCCTAACAAGACCAACCTGATACTACTCCCTGGAAAGTGGAATCGTGAGCATAATGTCAACAGACTAGGGATGGTTGGAACTCATTTGTTCCAGTAGAGGTAGCCTGAAAGACCACTGAGTTATTTTGTCTCCCAACTTTTCCTGAATCCCAGTTTCTATACCGTCTGTTGATTCTGTGAGCACTCCCATACCCTTCCAGAAAAAAATTTTGATTACAGAGGTGATTTCTATCGCTTGCCAACAAAATTCTTAATTGTCATCATTTAAAGGCCCAAGTCAAGCCCCTCCTGCCACACTAAGTCCTTGCCAAGCACCCTAGCTCGCAGTGATCATTCCCTCAGGAAGCATCTGTAGATTGTAATTAGCATCTGTTCCATTCCTTTGGCATGTCTCAGTCAGCAAGAATTGACTGAGCATTAACTATGAAGCTGGTTCTGTGCTACCACATACTTTAAAAAAAATCTGTTAACTTTGATAATAATGCTTAATTTTACAAGCAGACTGTGGGTTCTTCAAAGTCAGTAACTGTCTCAAACATAAACATTTCTTCCCTGGCGCCTGGTGTGCACAGAAAACACATATTCTTACTGACTGACAAAACCTGCCTCTTCCATCAAAGCTGTTTCAGGGGAACACCACTACAATATTAGGACTGCATGTACTAATTGAATTAGTCAATAAACTAACTAGAAACATAAAATAATAGATCTGAAAAACTTGTCACATCCCTACTTGCTTGCTCACTGGGTAGTTCCAATGCCAAAAATCATCAGTTAACATGCTAATTTATGGAAGTTGAGAATGTAATTTCATCTTTTAGTATATCACACAACCTGGATCACTCTGAAACATTCCCAAGATATGGGCCAGGTCATCCCTAAGAGCTGCCATCTGCATCTTTCAAGCACACTGCTACCTACTGCACTGATAACCAAAGAGGACGACAATGCAGTATATTTATTTAACTTGTAACTCTACATTCTATTTTTAATTTTTTAAAAAATATTTATTTGAGAGAGAGAGAGAGAGAACACGAGCATGGGTGGAGGGGCAGAGGCAGAGGGAGAAGCAGGCTCCCCCCCGAGCAGGGAGCCCACGTGGGGCTCGATCCCAGGACCCTGAGATCATGACCTGAGCCGAAGGTAGATGCTTAACTCACTGAGCCACCCAGGCACTCCTCTACAACCTATTTTATTTCTTAAATATTTATTTATTTGAGGGAGAGAAAGAATGAGAGAGACAGAGCATGAAAGGGGGGAGGGTCAGAGGGAGAAGTAGACTCCCCGCGGAGCAGGGAGCCCAATGTGGGACTTGATCCTGGGACTCCAGGATCATGACCTGAGCCGAAGGCAGTCGCCCAACCAACTGAGCCACCCGGGCGCCCTTACAACCTATTTTAAATAGAACTAGGGGTGGAGGTGGGGGGACTAAGAACTAACATGAGCTTCTATATTTGCTTTAACAGAAACGCCCAGATAACTACCAAGCAGCCATTTGTAGAATCACGGGGCTCCTGGCTGTTATTCTCTCTGGATATATTACTGCCATGAGGAAAAATGGCTCAGAATGTACTGAAAAGTGAGAGGGAGAAGAAAGGAAAGGAAGCACCTACCTTCTTTTCCAGTCGATCAATTAATTTCTGGAGTCTATTGATCTGGGTCATCCACTGGTTATCTTCTTCTAATAAGCCTTGAGGGGAAAATCATGAGGGCAATGTATTAAACAGAGCAGGAATGCTTTGGCATCTCAGAACTTTCCTTTTACCCTGAAGGAAGCACACAGTGTCACTGGCTAGTCACCTTTTAAAGAAATATATTCACACAAGTGCTTTCCGAGTTACCGGTTTCCATAGATCCGCGCGGCCCAGTGGGTTCATTTTCGCAAGTCTGCGCTTTTTATGTCGTTGCCTGTACTGGCCTTTGATAGTCAAAGAACAGATCCCGCTGAGCCATTTTCACCACCCCATGAGACGGCTGATTTTTCTTTTGAAAAAAGGAAAGCGTCCATCAATAATTTTAAACTTACTTTGGTGACAGTGGCAGGCGCCAGGGAAGTAACAGGACTGACCACAGCAAGGGAGCTGGTGTCTCCTTTCCTAGGGGCTAACCTGAATAAACACTCACACTATGGTCATGGCATAGGGATTAAGAGCACAGAATCTGGAACCTGTTGATCTTGCTCAGATGACTTGACTCCTCTGGCCTCAGCAATAATATCATCACTGGCCACATAGTCATTGTGAGGATTAAATCAGAATATATATGTATACACACACACACACACACATATACATGCACACACGTGACATACATATGTACGTCTGTGTGAACATACAAACACACATCTATATCTAGCACCCAGTCAACCAACACGTAAGTCCTGTTGCTATTATTGTTGCTGTAATTATTTTTTAATTCAAAAAATTTCTTAAGTATCTTTTATTTTATTATTGCTTTTACAAGTAAGCTCTACACCCAATGTGGGGTTGGAACTCATGACGTGGAGATTAATCAAAGATGCAAAGGGAAGAGTTGTGGTCTGAGCCCCTGCACAAACATCCTGGCATCCTTGTGTATCCTTACGGCAGCTTGCTCAAAATGATTTCATAGGCATTTGCTGAAATATTATTATTGAATATTTTTCGATGGGAGGATGTCATTGAATTCAAACTGTAAAGCCTTGTTTTAGCTTTGAATGTTAGGAACGTAAGACCAAATTATAAAGAGGTAGTACTTTACATTAGAATTCACTTTTCTCTCTGTATTCTGGGGTAAAACTCAAGGCCCATCACATAAATTATGATGCAAAACTAAGCAGGAGAAGAGTCACACAGAAGTGGCTCTAAAAAAAAAATCAGAATAGGGGTGCTTTATAATACAAAACATTGTAACTGTAGAAACAAAATTTAGGTTTACTTTTTAATTTACAAATCAGTTAACAGATTTCCATTCTGGCTTGTTCCTCACAGAATTTAAGGTGGCTGTCACATCAAATTTCCTTAGAAGGAAATTTTGGGTTTTGCTCTGTTTTCTAAAGGTTAAAGTGTAAAGAACAATCTGTATTTTGACTCAGGAGTCTAGTATTGTCATTTCCTAACAACACATGGTAGACTGTGTAATTGCTCACAATTTCCCCCTTTCTTCCTGGTATAGAATTCTATGTACACTACAAGTCTTTGCCCCTCCACTTTGCAGTATCTCCTACCACAACGGGTGGAGTACGTGTCCCTTCCCACTGTTACTGGGTTCGGCAGGGCATTCATTTGGCCAATGGAGAGTTAGCCGGTAAGATGCAAACAGTGGTTTCAAGTGAGCTGTGTGAGGTGGCCTGGCTGGTTGTGCTTCTGACACCCACCAAAAGAAACTGCTTGCTCCAAGTAGTCACTGATCCCAAGAGGCCACAGGAGAAGCAGAGCTGAACCCAATCTACAGGCTGGGGAGCACACATGCAGCTGAGATCACCCAAATCACCATCAACCACAGACCATGAACGAAAATAGACAAATATTTGCAATGGTAATCACTGAGCTTTTGCGGTTGTTTCGCCATAAAAATGGACTAATAAACCACATGCCCTTGGTCAAATTGCTTCACTTCTGGGGAAATAAAGATACTAACATCTATCTTATAAGGTATTAGAATAAAATAAGACAGTGTTCAAGAAAGCACTTTGAAACCTTTCAAATACAGTCTGTGTAAATATAGACTATAGTCAGTACTTTGATTTTCTGAAATATTAGCTATTTCAAGGTTAATCTGTGTTAAAACGATATGTTCAAGTGAGGTTTATATACACACACACACACACACACACATATACATATATATACATACCCATGCTTTACAGAATTACTGATATTTTGCAACATGAATTATATATTTCAAATGAATTTTTAAGTAATTATTACAAATGACACAATTAAAATAACCTAAGATATTACTAAGGTTTTAGTCCAATAAATGTTATATTACACTACACACTTCAAAAATGCCAGCTATGACTTTAATCCCATCATGAAAGGAAATAAAAATCCTTTTCCTCAAAGGATTTTCCTGAAAATCCTTTGCATATGTTTAGGCAGGCTTTAGGGGATCTGGAGCAAACTAGGGTACAAACTAAAGTGTGCCTCCTTCCTTGAAACTAATGGGGACTTCTACAGGTCTCCAGTCCCTCGTGTATTAGGTGACCAAGCCACTTTCTTCCCTACCCATCATCCCTCTGTGCACTGCTGGGTGCAGCTGTGGGATTCTGATGGAAACAACAGGGGGATCATCACCCTGTTCTTAATACCACAGGCTCTCTGCCACTGTGGTTTCAGACAAACTTATCTGGTATAAGAAAAGCTTTCCATTACTATTGCTGTTTCACTTGCTTAAAAAGTATGTCAACGTGAAAATACAAACTGGGTCAGTCTGGAAGAAGAAAAATGACAAAGCTTCATTACCTGGACCACAGGCACTAAACTGAGGGCTTTTAGGGGAGAAGCTGTTGTGTCTCTGGACTCGGCGACTTGATCGCTTTCCAGGCCACTGAATCAATAGGACTTCTGGCTTGGTCGGCCCTTGCCTTGAACAAGAGAGACAACATTTAACCACAGCGTGTTTCTTGCTTCGAGAAACAGATCTTTAACCATCAATCACAAAGGTTTTCTGGTGTAGTGAAATGAAAAGTTAGGAGAATTACTGCTTGCCAACATGCTCTAAAGACCCACATGATCTGGTTTTATAAATGTGAACCTAAAGGAGAAACTGTGAGCTGTCTTTATTTTTTCAGAGTTTGAGTAAAAATTGTATCTTCATTTGTGACTTAAGAAAAACATCTTTCGTTTCTTGACCAAACCATCAATGGGAAAAATGTTTTTGTGTGTGCTGATGTATTTAGTTTGAGAATACCTATGGTGTTCAGTTTTAAATTTTTTAAATCAAGGCTATGTGTCCATACAATTTTAAAAGTCAAATAATTCTACAAAGCTTATTTTATTTATTTAAATTGTAATTTATTATGTTATGTTAGCTATGTTAGTCACCATACAGTACATCATTAGTTTTTGATGACAAGCTTATTTTAACAAAAAGGAGCTCCTACTCCCCCATCTCCATATCATGCCCATTCCCCTTTCACAGAGGGAATGCTTTCAAGAAGTGTTAATTTGGGTATTTATCCTCATATCTGTATATAATATGCTTAAATTGCTATCACTTTATTCTTCAGTTTTAAATGTATCTATTAACTTCGCAATATGAAAAGTTCAGGTCAATGGTATATACAAGGAAATATTATAAGGAACTTACAGGAAAACTGTTTGAAAGAATGGATTCAACTTGTGAAGCAAGCCTTTGGTCTTTCCCTATTATTCTCTCCTGGTTGGAATACACATGTGATAGCTGGAACTGCAGCAACCATCCTGGACCATGAGGCAAACTTGAGGAAACAGGAGGTCTATGATAAATCCGTAGAGCTGTCATACCTGCTTAGGCTGCCACCACCAAGCTCTTTCTTGATAATAAGCCCTTATGTGTTTAAGTCACTTTTTTTTTCCTGTTACATGCAGCCAAATCTAATACTAATTCACTCAACCAAAAATCTTCCTTTACTATCAGTAAGGGAAAATTTCTTTAGCTTCTTTCTAATGCTGGTCCCCCCAGCCCCCCTTTTAAATTGGATTTCATTTTCTCTTTGTTTTGGTGGAAAAGAACCTCAACTGCTTCATAGAAAATGGTGCACCATGAGAGGTAAATTTTTTTTTTCAATAAATGAACTTAATTGCTTTTTCTTTCTTTTATGCTGATTCTCTATTTTTTTATTATGTTCAATTAGCCAGCATATGGTACATCATTAGTTTTTGATGTAGTCTTCAAATTTTTGAGATACTGCATATTAAAAAGATACCTTTATTTTATTCTACTTTATTGGTGGTTTTATGGGATAAAGAACTTTATTTTTTAAATTTCCAATATAATTAATGTACAGTGGTATATTATTTTCAGGTGTATAATATAGTGATTCAACAATTCTATGCAGTATTCAGTGCTCATCATCATAAGCGTACACTTAATCTCCTTCACCTATTTCACCCATTCTCCCACTCACTTCCCCTCTGGTAACCATCAGTTTTTTTCGCTACACTTAAGAGTCTGTAATTTGGGGGCACCTGGGTGGCTCAGTTGGTTAAGCGACTGCCTTCAGCTCAGGTCACGATCTCAGGGTCCTGGGATCGAGTCCCAGTCTCAGCTTCCTGAGCAAGAAGGCTGCTTCTCCCTCTTCTCCCTGCTTGTGCTCTCTCTTGCTCTCTCTCTCTAATAAATAAAACCTTAAAAAAAACAGTCTGTAATTTGCTTGGCTTTTTTGTTTTATTTTTTAAATTCTACATGAGTGAAATTATATGGTATTTGTCTTTCTCTTACTGACATTTCATTTAGCATTATACTCTCTGGATCCATCCATGTTGCTGCAAATGGCAAGATTTCTTTATGGCTGAGTAATATTCCATTGATTGATTGATTGTGTGTGTGTGTGTGTGTGTGTGTGTGTGTGTGTGTACACACACATTTTCTTTATCTGCTCATCTATTGATGGATACTTGGGTTTCTTGTGTATTTTGGCTATTGTAAATAATGCTGCAATAATCACAGAGGTGCATATATCTTCTCAAATTAGTGTTTTCATATTCCTTGGGTAAATACCCAGGAGTGGAATTACTGCATCATATGGTAATTCTATTTTTAATTTTTTGAGGAACCTCCATACCGTTTTCCACAGTGACTGTACCAGTTTGCATTTCCACCAACAGTGCACGAGGGTTCCTTTTTCTCCACATTCTCGCCAATGCTTGTTTCTTGTGTTTTTGATTTTAGCCATTATGCAGGAATGAGGTGATAGCTCACTCTAGTTCTGATTTTCATTTCACTGATGGTTAGTGAGTTGACCATCTTTTCATGTGTCGGTTGGTCACCTATATGCCTTCTGTGGAGGAATATTTGTTCTTGTCTTCTGCCCATTTTTAATTGATGAAATAATTGGATATTCTTTTGATGTTGAGTTGTATACATTTTATATATTCTTTATACATTTTGGATATTAACCCTTTATTGAATATATTACTTGCAAATATCTCCTCCCATTCAGTAGGTTGTCCTTTTGTTTTGCTGATTATTCCCTTTGCTGTGCAGAAGTTTTAATCTCACTTGATTGTGGGGAATGATTTTTTTAATATATTGGGGGATTCAGTTTATTAATATTTTGTTGGGGAATTTTACATCTATGTTCTTCAGAGATACTGGCTTGTAGTTCTCATTTATTGTACTGTCTTTATCTGGTTTTGGTATCAGGGTAATGCTGGCATCACAGAATGAATTTGGAAGTTTTCCTTTCTCTTCTATTTTTTGCAATATTTAAGAATAGGTATTAATACTTCTTTAAATGTTTGGTAAAATTTACCTGCAAAGCCATCTGGTCTTGGACTTTTGTTTGTGGGGAGTTTTTGATTACTGTTCAACTTCATTGCTGGTAATTGGTCTATCAAATTTTCTATTTCTTTCCAACTCAGTTTTGGAAGGTTATATGTTTCTGGAATTTATCCATTTCTTCTAGATTGTCCAATTTGTTGCCATATAATTATTCATAATATGCTCTAATAATCCATTGTATTTCTATGGTTTTGGTTCGTATTTCTCCTCTTTCATTTCTGATTTTGAGTTATTTATGAGTCTGACTAAAAGTTTATCATTTTTGTTAATCTTTTCAAAGAACCAGCTCCCGGTTTCATTGATCTTTGTTTTTGTTTTTAGTTTCTATTTTATTTATTTCTGCTCTAATCTTTATTTCCTTCCTTCTACTGGTTTTGGGTTTTATTTATTCTTCCTTTCCTAGCTCCTTTAGGTGTAAGGTTAGTTTATTTTAGATTTTTCTCGCTTCTTGAGGTAGACCCAGTGGGGAGTCTTCTCCTTCTGACCCTCCACCCTCTCTCATGCTTTCTCTCTTTCAAATAAATAAGATCTTTTAAAAAAAGAAAGTTCTAGGTCTTAAGCCCCACTGACTGTAAAAACTTACAAAATTAAGCCCCTCTGGTTTTCAAATCCAAATGTTATAAGAGGTTCATCTTCCCTATGTGGGTCCCTTGTGTCTGGGGTGCCTGGGGTGGGGTCTGCTCTTTTCCCTCCTCCATGCTTGCAGCGTCCCTCCCTCCCCGAGACAGTCTTGCAGGTCTGTTTGGCTCCTGACTGCATCTCCACCCTTCCTACCATTTTCAATGTGGCCTCTTCTCTACATTTAGCTGTGAGAGTCTGTTCTGCTAGTCTTCTGGTCGTTTTCTGGGTTATTTACACTGATGTGGGTGTTATTTAGGTGTATCAATAGGACAGTGTGAGCCTAGCATCCTCCTACTCTGCCATCTTCCCCTGAAGTCAGAGTACAAAGATTTAGGTTGCAAATCATTTTCCCTTCAAATTTTGAAAAAGCTGTTTGATCGCATTTCTAGCTTCCAGTGTCATTATTGAAAAAATCTAGTGTTTTCTTCATCCTTTGTATTTGACCTGGTTTTTCTGTCTGGAAGATTTTAGACACTTCTCTGTCTTTGGTATTCTGAAATCTTATAATGGCATGCCTTGGTGTCAGATTTTAGGATTCATTGTAATGGGCTCTCAGTCTGTTCTATCAACCTGGAAACTCATGTCCTTGTTCTGAGAATTATTTCTTAGACAATTTCTCTCCTTTTTTCTCTTTCTGGAATTACTACTTTTCAAATATTGGGCCTTTTGGACTATCCTATAGTTTTATTTATTTTTTTCTTTCCTATTTTTCACCTCTTTGTGGAAATGCCATCACACTTTTATCTCCAAATCTTGTTCACAGTTTATTTCTGCAATCATAATTTCCAAAAAAGCTCTGTGTGCTTTGAATATTTTTTATTTTATTCATTTGTTTTTCTTAAAGATTTTATTTACTTATTTGACAGAGAGAGAGACACACAGCGAGAGAGGGAACACAATCAGGGGGAGTGGGAGAGGGAGAAGCAGGCTCCCCGACAAGCAGGGAACCCGATGCGGGGCTCGATCCCAGGACCCTGGGATCATGACCCAAGCTGAAGGCAGACGCTTAATGACTGAGCCACCCAGGCACCCCATGAATATTATTTTTTAAAATAGCATCCTGCCCTTAATTCATAAATGCAATATTTTCTTTGCTTTCCGAGGGTATTGATTTCTTTTCTTCCTTTCTTTTTTTTTTTTTTTTTTTGGAAGTTTTCTTCTGCTCTCTGGATTATATCTGTTTCTTCTAAGTTTCTTTTCTTGTGTTTGCTTTGTTCTCTTGGTTGTCCCTGTCTATTTCGGAGGAAGGAAACATGGATGATGAGAGTGTGTCTTTAGGGTGGTGGGGAGGTGAGGATTGCCAACGTGCAGCCCCCACTGTAGGGTGGCCTGGCTAGGCCTATTCATTAAGAGACACCATCTCTTGGTACTTTTAAGTCTTTCTCTTGGACTGACGGGATCCCACAGAAAAGTGAGAGAAGCATCTCCCAACCAGAGTGTATAAGCCCAGCTGTCAGTGCTTTGGGAGTACAGTATGCTGAGTGGCTTTCAAATCTCATTGTTCAGTATGGAGACTTTCACTCAATGCCTGTGTTTTAGGATCATGTCCTGACCCCTGCTGTGCTAGCTATATATCTGTTCACCTTCTCCAGAAAGCACATCTCTAGGCTCCTCAAGGACTGGGGAGGGGCACTTACACAGTATTAGATGGAGCTTTCAGCAAGATGTTAGCCCCAACGTCACCCCCACTGCACACAGTGAAGCCAATTCATGAACCTCTCTGAGGTTCTGTGATACAAATTACATTGCCTCTTGGCTTCACACGTTGCCTATGTTTTGTCCTTCTCAGAGCTTCAACATTAGTCACCACTACATTTTCTTTCCATATTCCAAGTTTCTACCCCTTTGGTTCGTCTATCCTTATCTTTGCAGCACCTTTATGACTCCTTGTTGTCCACACTCTGTTAATGCCTTCTTTGAAAGAAGGTAGGAAAGAAAGGAAATCATATGTTTACTCTCCAGTCTTTAACTAGACCACCCTATGAATTTTCCTTTGGCATTTAAAAAAGATCAACTTTCTCGCAGCTTTACTGGTCATAAGAATAGGTGACTAGAACAGTACTCTATGTTCAAGCTAAGGGAAGGTAGACTGTCTGAAGTTTTATAATCACCTGCAAGCAAAATTAAAGCCTTCCCTTACTTCTATAATAGACAACCATCAAAAGGAGAAGAATAACTTCTAAACCTAGAAGGAATTAGTCTGGATAAAGAACAACTTTGGAAAATAGAGTAAATTTTCAGATTCCATTATAAAAAGAAATTCACATATAATTAAACTGTGTTCCCAGAAATCTGGTTTGTGAAGAAGAGAGGCTTATGTAAGAGGACAGGGGCCTCTTGAGGGAAGCTTCAGGGTAATGTGATGATTATTCTTGTCATTGGCTGTTAGGTACTTTCAGGAGACATGGAATTAATTTAGCTAGTATGCCAGGACAGATACAAAGAATGCTGTAGAACACCATCTGAAAATCTCACCTCTGTGGCATTCCAGCTGTATGCACCCCTTCTCTCTGAAATTGCCATTTTCACATGAATAGACACAGACATTCTGCCCAACACTGCATGTCTAACTCGTTACTGCAGGATGAGTGATACTATGTGATTCCTCCCTGGGGTTGATAGCTAGAACAGATGACTTCTCAAAATTTCCTATATTCCAATGAAGTTTTGTATCCCTAGGTTTCACAAATATTAAGCCCCAAAGTAACACTGATGCTTAAGGGGAAGCAAATTATTATAACCCTGGGATTTTTAATGCTATCTGCAGGTTGCAACTGTTGACTATGCAGGGCATCGTGGAATCTTCCTTTGTGTTATTAAAAAACGGATGAGTTCTGCGGTACATTGATTTGACCTCTCCTCTCTGACCTTGTTCTAACTCTTCCCAAATCTTTGCTATATACTGTTATGAGACTAATTTCCCTTAAAATTTATTTTCATTATATTTCTCTTTTATTTACAACCACCGAGACAATCTCTGATCATATGAAATCTAAATGCATTTGTCTAGCTTTTAAGACCTTTCTTAACCTTAGATGCCAGACGGGTTGTTCTCACTGTCCCAGGTCCTCACCCACTGCTGTTCTATGTAGTTCCTTTTACCTGGGATTCCCTTTCATTCATTCAGTTTCGTATATTTAACATGTAGTTGTGCCAGGTACAGGGAAACAAGGCAAAGCCCCTTCCATTTAGAAACTCAAAGTCTAATGGTAGAGATAAGTAAAGGATTGAGTTTGTAGGTTAAGTCTAAGTAGAGGGCACTGAGGAAGTAAACAGTGGTGGAGTCATAGGTGAAGGTTTTCCAGAGCAAGTGCTGTCCAAGCAGTGGCCAAACAGACGAGGAAGAGCCAGCCAGAAGGAAGAAGATGGGTCCTATGGGGTGGCTGAGGAGACCCGTCCCTTCAGGGAGAATATCCTCTGCCATTAAATCTACCCTAAAGATCCCGTTCAAGTCTTATCTACTACGAGGATTATTTACTGGTCTCTTGTCTAATATCATGGAAAAAGGACAGCCATCTTTCCTGTCCTGTTTTTTTTTTCTCCACTGGTGAGGGCCCCTGGGGCTCTCCTTACTTTGGTTTCTGGTGACCAGCTGATTGCCAGACGGAGCTAGGGAGAGGAGACACGATACTTTTAAGCATGAGCCTAATTCCCACTCTTCAGTCAGGGTCACCAGACACTTCAAGTTGGATTATGGGCACAAACCCATAGTGGAAACTAGTTTTTTTATTTGCTTTTTTTTAATTTATTCATTTTTTAATGAAAACCTCCCCAGAGGAGTATCATGGATTTGGGGTGGGATCTGGGCATCCCTGGGTACCTTAGTCAAATACCATACAATAGCACCACCCAAATTTACATCAGACAACTATCAGAAGAATAGTTCTCATTCTTCCAAGCTCTGAGCTAGAAGTCTATAAATAAAATATTAATTAGTCCTTTAGTGTCTTCTACTGTCCTTAAGTTCTGCATTATCACACTCCTTCTCATTAAACACAGCTGCTGTGCAGGTGTTGGTAGCTTTCACGGGAAGCCAAGGCTAGCCTGTGGCCTGACACAAAGAATAGCTATTCATCATATATTCACTATCCACTGTATGGTGGTGAGTGCAGAACTCAAGTTTGCAGGAGATGACTACAGAAAAAACCCAAAGTGCAGGTGAAGAAGGGAAGCACAGCGCTTTTGCAGGCTTCCTCTCAGGTGACAAATAATTGATTCTAAAAAGCGAGAATCCACTTCACATCAAGAAAATCCTAAACAAAACAGAGAAATCAACCTCATTTTCCCATTTGGAACATAAAATCAGTTTCACTGTATTTCAAGATATTTCGTTATCCTCTGCTCAAACTTGAAGAACGGGGCTTTTGCTTTTCTAAAGCTATTTGTTACGCCTGCCATTTGATACAGAATCATTCAAGGCAGTGAAAATAAGAAGTTTATAATGTGAAAATGCTGCAAGATCCATGGCCCAGTGCAGACACATGTTCATCAGCTGCATGAGCTCATTAGATTTGAGATTAGAGGCTTTTTGTTAGAATTTGGTGGTGCTCACTCATTTTGACACCGTAAACACATGGCTGAAAATTCTACTGTTTCTCTGAGATGTCCTAATAACTACGTATCTATTAGTTTGTTTAGAGAAATTGGTCCTACTGAGCAGTCTGTTATCAGCCTGTTCCAAAAAGTTACTGTGTGGTTCTCCCTAATTTAAAATGCAAAAGTTAGATGGTCAAATGTATAGGTTTGAAGTAACACATGCAAAATATGTTGCACAAGCCAGCGTGTCCCCGAGCCCTTCTCTAGCTTGCACAGTATAAACAATGGCAACTCCAGAAAGGACCAACCGTTGGGTGGAATAATTTCGATGTCTGCTTTACACGGTTCTAATTCAGGTTCCTCTTCAGTCAGCATCTTTATTTACGTAACTATTATAGTAGCATTACTTATCTTCTCAGTGATATTAACTGGTGGTCTTGAATTTGGAAATCTTTTCCTACCATTCACTTTTCTTTATTCCCTTAAATAAATAGGCTGATTCGATTCCCAAGTCCTCAGGTACATCCAGGTCCACTTAGCCTCTAAGTTTCTATCAGTTCCACATTTTCACATAATACTCATTTGCAAGATGAGCCCAAATATCATCAGGAAATTCCATGAAATCTTTTACTCTTCCTAAATCCTTGGCACCTTATTTACCCTTCTGTATGATATATATCACTTTGCACCTTACACTATGGTTTTAGTCTTCATGTCTTATTTACATAATAGACTGTAGCCTCCTGAAGAGTCAGGACTATGTAAAATGTAACTCTACAGTATCACAGTGTCCACTAAATTTGCAACTTATATTTGAATAAATGGACAGTAAAAGTAGAATGGCTTCTTTTAGTGGCAAATGTAAGGCGAGCACCCAAAGGAGGTTCCTGTAATTCTTTAATTTTATTAATTCTCATTTTTAGTTTTCACTAGCTTAAGCATGATGCCCCTCCACTGGTCTTTCCTAGTCACTAAAGAGATATCACGTGAACATATTTAACTTGCCTTTCTTGACGGGTTTGCTCCTCAGTAGTTTCCATGGCACATTCCAGAGAATTCTGGAGAGACTGCAACTGATTCAAGGTCTCCTTCAATAAAAATCGAGTTACAAATTGTTCCAAATTGGAAGCCTCCTGGTAGTCCTAAGGATGATAGAGCAAAGGCAATTAGAAGTATGGTAAGGAAAAATATCCAGGAATGGATTTCCCCCACGTACCCATCAATCTCAGATTAATTTTCAAGGAGAAACCAGGAAGAGAGAAGACATGTTGCCCCTGGAGGCTGGGGCAGTGCTCTCCCCGCCCACCAGAAGTTGAATATAAGAGCTGCAGAAATAACGGGAGTATCTAGCTGATCTCCCATTGCATCTGCCGCAACATGAGGAAAAAGGACAAAACCCACTAGAACTAGAGAATAGACATCTGTAGAAAAGGAAAAGAACATTATCTGAAGAAAAAGCTTGGAAGGTGATTAACTCAGAGTTTGTTCTGTGCTTCATTTAAGTAATGACATGCCATTGTTTATTTTTTCTATTATCAACTAAATGCAGTCACGTTCCAGCAATTGGCTTAGTTCCTTCTTGGTGTATTTATTAAGCCTGATCTGTATTATACTGAAGCCAAAGGAAATTATGTGTAGCTATCCCCCAATTCAGAAAATGTTAGGCATGGAATATTTAAACAGTTTACTAAATCTGCTTATGTCCATCCCTCAGGAACTTACCTGAGGCTCGTCTGCACCTAACCCAGCCACAAAAGCACCAAGCCTTCAGAGAGCCCCGAGTCTCCCCGGAGATCACGACCCATACAGTAGCTATACTCCCCGAGTCTAGTCTCAGGAGACAGGGGGCTGTGCACGGTGCTACCTGCTCTTCTTGTCTTCTACGGTCTCAGGGAGGACCAAGACAGAAAAAAAACCAGGTTGGCACGGAATAGGTGCCAGACCACTCATTCAGGTCCTGAGACTAGCGAGCTAAACCCGATTTTCTAGAGTATTGAGTGGGAATGACAAATACAAGTTCCATTAAGAAAGACTGATCTAGCTCTGTCCCTACGTGATTTTTTTCATGGGTAAAAATATAAAACCAAAAGGAATAACAGTGACAAGATAATGCCTGAAGTTATGACGTGCTGGGGAGTTTCAGGTCACAGTTGTAAACCCAGAAAACCAAGACGTAATTATTTAATCTTTCTGGGTCTCAGTTTTCTCATTCACAAATCAGACGATAACCCAGGCATACATTCCAACTCCAAAATATTCTGTGCTTCTATCAGCTCTAAATTAGGACATAATGGATTGTGGCCTCCTGACAGAAATTACTTTGGAATTTTTCTTCTGGCGGCCCAGTCACCTAATGCCATAGAAACCCTCCTTTTGTTCTTATTTTGAAATCATGAAATGTTTCAATCATCAGTTTCTCTTTAAGTCAATTCTTGGAGGTGAACACAGGGAATTCTCTTATCCACCATACCTAATGATGTGATTTAAAACTTAAAAATTTTAATGCCTTTAAGCTCCACCTAAGAAACTAACCATAAACTGAAACATTACATGCTTATAATAACCTAAGGATTTCTGTGAGTTAATTCAAGGTAAAAATACACCAAATATTTAATTTTATCAAATAGCTTGCTAGTGAATAGCAATAAAAACTTCAAAAAATTATTCCTCAATGTGTTTTTAAGTTGAGGAAATCTTTCTTTTGAAAAGAAAATGTATGACAGAAAAAAAGGTGTACTTGATTTTTTCCCCAGTCACTTGCATTTTGTGAAAGCATATTTTTTTTAAAAACAATTTATTTAAAAAAATTTAAAAATAAAACAAAATTTATTAAAATGCCAGACAACATATTGGTGTAGTCAGAGATTATGCCAATTACATTTGCATCTCAGTATACACTGTGACTAAAGCAAATGATAAAGTTTTATACCCATTTGTAGAGGGCCTGGAAAGGGAAGAAAGCATACATTCACCGAGCAATGCATTATCACGTTAGCCTCACTCTTTTCTCAGTTAAATGTTAAGTATTTGTCATGTCAGAACTATAGAACTAATTGCTTATCATCGCAATTAGATTTTAGTTTTCTAGACTCAAAGGTCATGCCTTATACTTCTGTGTGCCTCATGGTGCCCACACCAGATACTCACTCAATACTTGATTGCAGAGAAACTCCTAAGTCTAAAAATGTAATTGGGTGGCTACTCTGGTCTTACATATCAAGATTTGGGTGATGCCAAAGTTCAATATTTAAGGACAGTTAAAACCCGACAATTGGCCACTCCATGGCAGCAAATTAAAAAGTGGTTCTTAAACTGAGATTTCCCTCCCAGTCTGATAAGACTTTGCTATCCTTACCAGTGATTCTTCAGATAATACTAAGAGATGGCACAACCAGCTAGTACATTGGACAGAACTGCTGATGCCTGGACACTGAGAGGGGTGGTGTGTGGGTTTAAGGTTTGGGGATATTCAGTTTTTTGAGTCAATACGAAGATTGGCTGTTATGTGCTAACTCTTGATCATAAAGAGAAAAAAAGCTTGTTTTCTAATGTTCCTGTTTATCCTTCCAGACTCCGCTCATGGCACCATCTCTGTAGAGCCTCTCCTTTCCTTGAGCCACCATTTTGCTTCATGGGATTAGGCACACCCTTTTCCTTTCCCTTCTCTGTGCTCCCAGTGTGCAGAATTTATGATTGTATATTGTAATCTGCTGTCGACTTGCCCATCTCCCTCATCCTAGGCCAGCTCTTTCCAAGTAGGAAATACATCTTACAATCATCTCTGCCTCCAGAATGCCCAGAACAAAGTCCAGCTGCCCCATAAATGCTTAACGGGTATGTGAGCAGCAGGTGTGGTGAGTGCAAATTCAGGCACCAGAGGGCGCGTCTGAGCGCTGGAAACTGCTCTTCCCTCCCCCCTCCCCTCTCAGGCACCAGCTCCCTCCCCTGCCTTAGCTCTAGTTGATGGCAGACACTGTTGTCCAGCTTGCCTGGTAGTGTGGGCTCTGCGATAAATGGAAATAAAGGTTTGTTCTTAACAGACTGTTTGTCCTCATTTCATTTTCTGGACCATGTGTCAGTCTTCTTCCCTTCCCTTAATCTGAATCCCCAGGTTTAGGACTGCAGACCCAGGTGGCAGGGATCCAATCTTCCCTTCCTTCTCTCAGATGTGCAGCAGATGTTCCTTTGGAAGGCAGTGGCAAAAGCAGCAGATGGAAAATTAAATAGATAACAAGCTGGAAAATGTCAAAGCCTGGCCCTTTCTATTCTCAACAAATGTGTTGGTTCTGCAGGTACAAAAAGGGATCTTTGCATGCTGAACTCCCCAAAGACTGATATGTTGGCTTAAAACATGTTCCTGTAAGCAAAAGCTAGAATTTGAGAGACCGGCAGAAAGAACATACACTGGTCTACTAAAGCAGTAAAAAAACATAGTACCTGATATCCAGATTCTGCCACTTTTTTTCAGAAACAGTTTAATCCTTTATGTCTATTAGAAAAGGTATGGGTAAATGAAGGCTAATAATATGTTCCCCAGATTCCAATAATGTTCGGTCACGTCACTGATAATTGTCAGTTAAATTAATCTTTACGTGGAAATTGTTAACTAGCATTATTTCCGTTTGTGCCTTTGCCAAGCTAGAGTGTGAACTTTTCGATCTACCTATTTCTTTTGTATGGAGCTGGAACAGGGTGAGGATTCATTTAAGTAAAAACCCCAGCATTAGAAGCAGAGCCCTTTGAAAATCAGGTTTCTTAGGGCCCTGCCTGTGCATCTTTAATTGTCAGATCATTTCTCAAAAACCAAGCTCCTGCCCATCTGCGTAATGGAAGAGTAGAGATCCCGGCTATTAAACCACTATGAATCATCTGAGTTAATTAGGAAAATCAGAGCATCAGTCTTCCCTGTTTGTATCTGCCCTACTTGAAAATTAATCAAGTCTGTGACATCCAGGTTCAGCGTCTTCTTGTTTATGAGCTCAGATGCAATCACATTTAGCAGGGGGTACTGCTTCTGACCGCCGTTTGATCTAAGCCCCTGCAGCTTTCCCTGTTCCTATGTGAGACAGCTGTGCTGGCTTCTAGAACAAGAAAAAATTCACTTTTACAAAGATAGGGTTGTCTTTTTTTCCCTACTCTTCCCCAAACTGTTACCTTTTAAAAAATAATAACTGGCTTATACTGCTTTATCTATGTCCTATTTTTGTAAACATCCTTAGACTTTCATTTTAAATGACTTTTAAGCTGGGAGAACACTGTATCGAATTTAAGGCTTTAAAAAAAAAGAAAAAAAAAGAACTGTTCCTCACTTCAGTCTTAAAAATGGACTGAGGTTAAATACAGATAGGTAGTTAGAAATTTGGGATAGCGGTACAAGAGATTAAAATATTTTCAGGATTACAGGAATTATAGATTTTCAGGTTAGTGAAAGAGGAAACAAGGCTCTAATTCTGGAATAAAATGTTATTAAACTATCACTAAATTCAAATAACTTCTAGGCCCTACGTTGAGATATTCTATAGTTCGAAATCAGAACCTGAGTTCTATTATTTAAGACCTTTACATTGACAAACTCCACTGTAGAGGGTTCATCCTAAAGTTATCAAAGATTGATTTCATGTAGGTTTCTGTCCCCTGGTTCTTCCTATTGCTCTGTTTCATAGCAGGAGACTCTAACAAGAACATATGGCCCCTTGGATGTCTTTGCCGAAAGAATAAAATAATCCCATTCTGTTCAGAAGTAATCTTCAAACAAGTGGAATTTTGGCAAAAAAAAAAAAAAACCCTAAAAAACAAAAACAAAAAAACCCTGGTTTTGAATGTGGAAACATAAACAGAGTCAACCCAAATTTGAGGGTTAATAGCTAACAGATGATGATTTGGATCCCATTTATCACATTTAATAACACAGTGTGGTGATTAAGAATCTGGGTTTGAAGACAGTTACACAAGTTACACATAAGTTCTAATCAGTGTTTATGTCACTTAACAGCAATGTGAGCTTGGGAAAGTATTCAACCTAAGTCTTTGTTTCCCTAACTATAGATAAGAATAGTGGCAATCTCATAAACTTGTGAGGATTGAATGTAATATAGCTTGTAAAGCACAGGGTATGGTGCCTAGCTTATAGTTTCTGATATAT